TCTTCGGTGCCAATGACCTAGCTTCAGATCATATCCACTTCTTGCTTCTTTCTGGGTGAGAGAGATACATTATTAGAGAGAGAGAGAGAGAGAGTGGGAAAAAGAAAGGGCAGAGAATAGACGAGAGTGAAAGGGATGGAAGTAGCTGGACAGGCTACATAATTTATGTCAAAGTGATCGATCAGATACTTCGGTTGAAGTATCATTTCCTTGGATAAAAATAGAAAAAATACTCGTTTCTCTAGAAAAAAAAAAAAAAATTTTACTTGAGATTTAACCTAATCCCTTTTTCTTAAAAAGAAAAATATCAAATAAATTACACTGGGGATCAACCAAGTTATAAGAAAAAAATGCAAAAGGTGGATTACTCTTTTTACATATAATAAAGTGTAAATTAATAGTATATAGAAAGAAAAAAAATTGATAAAACTTGTTTTATATATTAAATAAGAACTTAAATAGAAAAAAATTTAATTCGAGGAGGAAATATATAATACTAAGAAAATTATTTATTTAATTTCATAAAAAAAAAATCTAATTAGAGAATGAAATACTACTGCTAATAATAATATAGTAGCAGAAAAATTGAAATTCAATAAATAAAAAATTAATTAGAGAAGAAAATATAAAATATAAAAAATTATTTATTTAATTCAATAAAAAGAAATCTAATTAGAGAATGAAACAATAATAATAATAATACAGTAGGAAATAATAAAATTTAATAAAAAAAAGACCTAGTCAGAGAAGGAAATGTATAATACTAAAAAACTTTTTGAATAATATAGTAGTAGGAAATAATAATAATAATAATAATATAGTAATAGGAAATTTAATTATAGAAGAAAATATATAATTTTTAAAAACTGAATTACTGAAATTAGATAAAAGGATATCTAATTAGAGGAGAAATACTAATAATAGTAACAATAATATAGTTGTAAGAAATGATGAAATTCAATAAAAGAAAATTTAATTAGAGAAGTAAATATAAAATCTATTTCAATAAATACATTACAACAATTCTATATCAAAATATATCAATAAAATCCTAAATTAAGAATTCAATGTATAAAAATATTTTTATAATTTATTAAAAAACTAATAAATAATATATTTTTATAATGTAAAATTATTCTTCTATATCTTTTTGATCCTTTACAAAATTTTACTTTTTGTCAAAATATAACCATTAAGGTATTTTAGCATAAGAAAAGAGCAACTAAGTAATTTTTAAATTTTTATTAATATGAGGGAGTGTTATTAAACAAACATGTCAAATATTAAGAGAGGTCAAAACAAATAATAAGTGAAAAGTTTTACTTGTATGTAATTTGTCTAAATTTTAAAAAAGATGAGTATAATTTATGTATAATATTTCTCATCAACACTGGTAATGCTATTTGGTGGCGGATCCCACATCATCACGTGTCTATCGATTTGAACCAAATTTGAAGCAATTATTTTTCTATTACTGATACAAAATTACTACTCTGTACTATAACAACGATACTTAAAATGCTTTTAAATTGGATCTTGGCCCACAACAGGTAAAATAATCTTGCATCCTTAATCAATTTTTGTCATAGTTGTATCCTGTGTATAGTGGGTCATTCTACACAATAGTGATATTTATATATACAAAAGTAATACATAAAAATTAGTAAGAACAATTTTGACAAATAAACAGTCGGTTTTTTATATTCATAACTTCAAAAAAATTCACAAACTTTTAAAAATATTGACTTTAACTCCATCACTTTAAAAATTGGTCTCAGAAACTCCATATTTTATAATTAGGCCATCTGCACCAATCTCTTCAGATTTTGGCTCTTTAAAAACGCCACATCAGCTTTTCCAAAAGTCACATCAGCAATTCTAAGAGCCACGTCAACAGTTTTCGCTCTCCAGAAACATGCACTCCATCAGACTCTCCGAATTTTCTCTCTAAAAAAAAAATAATAATAAAAAATTAAAATTAAAATTAATTTTTTTATTTTTATTTTTATTTTTTAACTTTTCCTAAACGGCTATATCCGTAACGGCTATATTTTTAACGCTATATTTGTAACAGCTATATTTGTAATTTTAATTATTTTTTTTATAAAAAGTTTTTTAAAAAAGCTTTTTTTATTTATTTTTGGCCCGAATAAATAAGGATTACCAAATAAGGATTACAAAATAAGGATTTTTTTTTAATGAATTGGAATAAGAAAATAAGGATTACAAAATCCTATGGGAATAAGAAGATGAATTTGTAATTTTAATTTTTTTTTTACAAAAGTTAAAAAAAAAATTATATATATATATTTTAAAATTATAGCCGTTAAGGCACTATTTGTGTCGTCCAAACAGTGTCTGAATGGCCAAATGCGTTGTTTGTGATACACATTTAAAATTTAAAGCAAAAAAAATTTTTAAAAAAAAAAACAAATTTTAAAGGGAAAAAAAAAAAAGAAAAAGCTTTTTTAATTTATTTTTGGCCCAAATAAATTTTTTTTTTTTTTGATACAATATATTTTTTATTTAATGAATTTTTTTTAAAAAAAATTTTTCTCAAAAAGAGCTCAAAATAACCTATTTTTAAGTTTTTTTTTTTTAAAAATAATTCTGCCAAACAGTGCCTCTGTTTGGCCACTGTTCCAGTAAGCACTGCATAAGACAAAACTGGCAGCCCAAAACCGTGCTGTTTTGCAGCAAATAAAACAAAAAAAATAGGGCGCTGGGCGCCCAACAGGCCCTTGGCTCACGGAAATTGGGCTTCCGCGAGCCCGCTGCAGATGGCCTGGAACCTCAAACTTAGAATTCTAATTGGAGAGTTATATTCATTATCAAAAGGACATAAGACTAACCAAATGATCAAGTTGCCCCCACGGTACCAACCCCAACTTCCCAAAAAGGGATCTGAGTTCGACCCTAGTGAAATCATGGATGTGCGCGCCTGTGATTGCTTTACTTCCTTAAAAAATATATATAAATAAAGACAAGGACTTTAATCTTCTTCTTTTTTCCTTTTTCTTTTTATAAATAAAATAAATAAAAGAATATAAATAAAAACTTGTACAATTCGAATGGTAAAGATATTTGGGTATAGAATAATTTACTAAAGCTGCACTAAAAAAATGAAATGAAATGCCTCCTTGTTCAGGTAAATATATTAGTATTTTTGTAACGCGGTATATATTGAAATAGAAGGAGAGACCGACGTCGATCTTCAGAGGAGGAGATACTACGAAAAAAGCCAAGGAAAGAAACGACAAAAAGAAAATAGTAGTATGATATGAAATTTTAGATTTTTTATTTTTTTATCAAATATAACTTCTCCTTTTAAAAGGTATACTCTATTTTTTTTTAAGTGAAATTGAATTATTATACAGAACTCAACCAATTCATTAATAATTTGTCTAGAATTATGAATTTATATTTTCCTACCTCATTCAATTCATAAATAATCGAATCAATTAGTATGGGTATTTTTGTCTTTAATTTAGGAAAAAAAATGTAATTTTTATAGGAAGATGTTGATATTTACACTCCAATATTTTATAAATACACTCCTTTACCATATTCTTTTCTAAGATCAAATGACAAAAGTGTTTTTAATGTTTATTTTTCTTATTTTATAAAGTTCAATAATATTATACTCCCTCTATCTTAAAAAGAGTATTTTTTTTGGGAACGGTGACTTTTCAATTTATAAAAGTTACGATTCTTCAAAATAGATACTCTTTTTAAAACAGTAGGATAAAAATTAAAGTCATCATTACCAACATTATTTTTTTTCAATTTAAACAAATCCGCCACATAAACTCTCAATTTTCACTCATTTTATGATAAGGTTATTTTTTTATTTTTTTATTTTTATCTAATCAGCGGTTAATTTTGGCGAATATCTTTGTCTTTGGAATTCTATGTGAAGCAATCTTCCTTGTCTCGCTAATAAATAGCAGGCACTCCTAATTTCTCCTTCACATATAGCCTCCTTTGTAAAACAAAATTATGGATATCAGCTCCTTTTATCAGGCGAAAGAAAAAGTAATTTCTAAATAATAAATGAAATAAATATATTAAATTAAACTTTAATTTAGATTTGTTCTTTTTCAATTTAACTAAAATGAGAATATTGATATGGATAATAAGAATAACTAAAAAATATATAATTAATAATGCCAGTGTGAGGGAGAGACGAGGAGTACTAACTCCTATAAAATGATAAGTAGATAAGAAAAAAAAAAAAAATCCATTTTATTAATTACCAGGAAAAAAAAAAAAAAAAAAAAACCACTTTATTACCCTTTGAAGTTAAAAAAAGACAAAAGGAAAAAAAAAGAAAAAAGAAAGAGAGATTCCTTATATTAAAGTGTCAACTTTTGAATTTGTTATTTTGGTTTAATTTTTATCTTACATTGTTGAAACTCTTAAATCGTTCCCACTGCAACAAATTTCATAATAATACAATGTATTTTCATATTGACGCCAAAATTTGAAAAAGTTCTATGACTTTGATTCGGGACTAAATTAGCCTCCAAAAGTCTATATTTATATAATTATCCCCTAATATTAGTCAAAGTTAATATTAGTCAAAGTTCAATTCTAAATGCTTGACTTATGGTAGCATTCTAAAAAAGGCCTGAATGTTGTTCTAAGATAAAAAAAATAATAATAATAATAATAAATAAATAAAAAAAAACAATTTGCTTGTAGCACCGTAGGCTTAGTTGTAGCACTGTTTTTCTTCTTCATTTTAGGCTGCATGATAGTACTGCTCCTTACCACTTATGTGTGTATTCTTAGTTGTCTCTGTAATCTTGTCTGCCCACTTCAGTTGATGAAAAAGTTCAACCATCCCTCCACTCTTTTTATCTCTCTTGAAATCTCAACCATTCACTCTTTTTTTTTTTTATCTCTGTAAGGGTTGAACCTCAACCATCCTCTCTTTCTTTTTATCTCTCTTGTAAGAAGGGTTGAGAATAGAAGTGGAATACCAGGGAGGGTTGAGAATGGAAGAGGACTACCAGAAACACGAAGCCTTCCGACCAGAAACGTATTTGGGTTCGCTCGGTAAGGAAACAAAAACCTGCTGGGTCTATGAGAACGGGGGATTGGTCCAACGACTCGTCACGTACGTCCCCTGCCTGTACAACATATTTCAAGAAATCCTCCTCAATGTCTCCGACCACAAGCAGCGTGACCCGACGATGGACTCAGTGAAGGTGGAGATTGACGTGGAACAGGGCTGTATCAGTGTGTGGAATAATGGTTCTGGTCTCCCAGTGGAGATGCATCGGGGCATGGATGTGTACGTGCCCGAACTGTTGTTTGGGCAATTCTTCCAGACCACTACAATCGACAGTGATAGGGGCGGCAAGGCTACCGTTGGCCGGAATGGCTTTGGCGCAAAGATTGTGAATAGCTTCTCCACTAAGTTTGTAGTTGAGACTGCCGATGGCAAGCGTCGGAAGAGATACAAGCAGGTATAAGAAAATCATGGTCAAAAACAGGGGAGTATGTCCATTTTTTATTTTTCACATTTACTTTGCTTTGGTTTACTCATTATATTAGTTCATTGTTTTGTTGGTGTATATTCTGTCTTCTTGTTTACTTTTCTGTACTAAGGGCTTAGGAATTGGGTATTATTTCTCTTTCTATGCAAAAAAATGTCCACCTCTGTTCTAACGGCTTAGGCTCAATAAATTGGTATTGTTATGTATATTTGTTTGTTTTGGGTTCTTCTTTCTTGATTCTTAATTAGGCATGAGATGGTGATTTAAAATTTTATATGTGAATTGCAGAGATTTAAGGTTTCATTTATTAGATTCAGGGAGTTTGTTTCAATTTGATACCATCTATACGTGCAGACTAACTTCTCTCATCTTTGCTGCTCCTAACACTTTTCTTATCATATCAAATTGAAACTTCTATTCAATAAATTAACCATATCATCTATACGTGCATACTAATTTGTATAAAAATGTTGTGATGATCTGAAGGTTTTCATAAACAACATGGAAATGAAACTTTCGCCTGTAATAAGTGATTGCACCGATGATGAAAACTGGACTAGGGTTTCATTTAAGCCCGACTTGAAAAAGTTTGATATGATCCATCTTGAAGATGATATTGTTGCCATGATGAGAAAGAGGGTGATCGAATTAGCAGCATACCTCGGAGAGACTGTGAATGTTGAATTAAATGGGGAACAGGTTCTTATAAAATCATTTTTTGATTATGTCGAATTGTATATGCAATATTCCTCCAAGGACATACTCGATCCCATTCCCAGGTTCTCTCTTTGGATCTTTCTATTTATAGTTCTTATTCCTATTATATTTAATTGGATCTGCTAATCAGTTTTAGTAATTTTCTTAGGATTACACAAAAGATCAATGAGAGGTGTGAGATTTGCGTGAGTTCAAGTGACGGGCACTTTCAGCAGGTAGTGAAAAGAAATGATAAATACAAGTACATCAATTAAGTCTTCATTTATTTCTGGAGCTTGAATTTTGCACGTGGATATACTTGTTTTTACAGGTTAGCTTTGTAAATGGATGTGCCACGAGCGTAGGTGGGACTCATGTAAATTACATCACTGAACAAATCAAAGATTACCTTACAAATGTAAATGGGGAGAATGAGACTGAGGAGAATGAGAATACCAAACTCGATGCTAAAGATCTGTCAAATTTATGGGTGTTCCTTAATGTTGTTATTGACAATCCTCAGTTTGGGACACTTGAAAAAGAAAACTTAGTCGTTTCCCAAAATCGTTTTTGTTCCGAATTAGAACTCTCACAAGAGTTCTTACAAAAAGGTTTGCATCATTATTTATTAGAGATGTTTATCCAAAAAAAAAAAAAAAATCAATTTACTATTTCATGGAACTATATTTTTATTGCTGAAAATCATCGCAGTTGCCAAGGTTAAGCAAGAGACCGAAGAGAGACTGTTGGGGAAAAAATTGAAGAACATTACAATAAGTGACATAACAGAGGGGAGGGGAAATAAAATCTACGGCATTTCCAATCTAAATGACGCTTACTATGCAGGAGGGATAGACTATCAGAAATGTACACTGATTTTGACTGAGGGAGCCTCAGCAATGGCTCTTGCGGTAAGTTCTCACTTTATTCTACATTCAACTTGTATTACTTATCTAATAATTATAATAAGAGGCAGAGCCAATTAAGGCCTAGGGGGCACGTGTCCCCTGACCTGGCCCGCTCAATAGAATATATATAGTTAATTTGCAATTTTGGCCCGCTCAATAGAATATATCATTTTTTGTGGCATCATAGTTTGTGGTTTTCTTTGGATGACTGAAGTATCATTGTTGTTTATCATAATATTCTTATTGTTCATGGAAACTTATGTATGCAAAAATTATAAGTTATGCCTTCAAGGGACATGTAATAGTAATCTTCCATCATATTAGGCCTTCAAGTCCACAGTTTTGTAATTAATTATTGACTAGCTCATGTTCTTTAACATCCTTTTATTCCTCCGACCAAGACAGGTCCTTTCCAGGTATTTTGGTCACTAGATGCTACAAAAAATGTTGGACACTTTCATGTAGAGTTATGTCTTTCAGATAACTTGGTTTCGTCTAAATTTATGGGCTCTATATATGAGTATTTCATTAAGAAAAGTAGAGATAAATGTAATGAACATGATCTGCTGTCCCAAAATTGTTCCGTATGACCATGGCATGGACTCTATAGGTCCAATTCTTCTGTCTATTTGCAATGAAATTTGGAACAACTGTCATATTTCATATGCAAATATAGTACATTGCCATGTGATGTGCATGTCATATTTCATATGCAAAGACTCACCAGCATTTGCTCTCCCAAAACTACAAGTAAATTCACAAGACTTGGATAATATTGAGAAGGTGAATAATTTTAGAATCATTATCAATTACAGGCTAAAGCTACATATTCCACTATTTTTTTTAATTACCTATACAAATTCTAATCTTTAGACTGCACCAAACAATGATATTTATTTATTTATTATTTTTGTTGGTGATCCATCCAAATACAGAAACAAGAAATAACCCCATCCTCACATGCCTTTTAATCCCATTTTCTTTTCACTTCTTAGAATGATGTGTTGTTATTAAAAACCCTACATTTTTCAACGCCTAACAGTGAAACCAAATTTTTAGTCTTTATTCTCTACACCACTACCACCACATCCACAATCCCTAATTTTTACTCATTTACACCTATTTTACAGGAGGTTGGAATTTCCGTAGTTGGAAACGACTATTATGGGGTACTTTCATTGAAGGGCAAATTATTAAATGTGCAAGGAGAAAAAAGTGCACAGTTGGAGAACAATGCTCAGATTAAGGCAATAATTAAAGTTCTTGGTCTACAGATTCAAAAGAAGTATGACGAAACTCTTGAAAATATGAGATACGGTCATTTGATGATTATGATGGATTCGGTAACTTTTTTGTTTTCTCTTTAATACAATTATGTTTAGGTAATACATTCATTACTAATAGGGAGTTGACTTGTGTTTCCAGGATCATGATGGTTCTCATCTCAAAGGCCTAATTATTAATCTTTTTAATGAACATTGGCCATCACTCCTTCAAATTCCATCTTTCTTAGTAGAGTTGGTTATACCGATCGTGAAGGTATGCAATTGTTTATGAACTACCTAATCCCATATTTCAATCTTAATGAGAGTGAACTTAATTTTCTTTTGTGATACAGGCCACTAATACAAATGGGACATTATCATTTTATTCCATACCCGAATATGAATCATGGACGAAGAGTTTGGGGGGTAATTTAAGTAATTGGTTCATCAAGCATTATAAGGTTTGTTTTTTCAAATTTTATTAAATGTTTGATGGTTAGTATCAATATTATTATAATAACACATCTAATTTCCTAGCAGGGACCGGGAGCACATACAGCGGAGGAAGGAAGGAACTACTTTAAAGATATTGGTAAACTGACTAAAGAATTTGTTTGGGACAGTGACGATAAGGGAAAAGCTATTCGATTTTTTTTCGATGAAAAAAAAACAAAGGAAAGGAGGGACTGGATAAGACTTTCTAAGGTTGGACTTCATGTGACATTTTGGAAGAAAACTCCACAACAATTACAAATTTGTTTTCTAAATTCATTATTTGTTGTGCAGACTAGTGAATACATTAATCCAGAGCAAAAGTTGATTGGATATAGGGAATTTGTTAACAAGGAGCTTATACATTTTTCCAGAGCAGTTCTTCATAGGTCGATTGCTTCCGTGGTTGACGGCCTAAAGCCTACTCAGAGAAAAATACTTTTCTCTTCTTTCAAGTATAACTTTAACCGCGAAGTAAAAGTTGAAGCGTTCGCAAGTTTTGCATGTAGGGAAACGGCTTATCATCACACTGAGAGTGTTCTTGCCGATACCATTGTTCGCATGGCACGAGATTTTGTAGGCACCAATAATATTAGTCTTTTCCAACCAATCGGGCAATTTGGAAGTCGATTGAACGTGAGGCTAACAAAAAAATCTTAGTTCTCCAAATTGATATGAATAGTCATTATGTTTGCTTTAACTTGGATTTAAAAGATTAATTCATTCATTAACAGGGAGGCACAGATGATAAAGTTCGTACTAGGTATCTATACACTCGGCTGTCTCCTATCACACGTAGCATCTTCCCGGAACATGATGATAATTTGCTCACTTACCTAAAGGAAGATGGGATGTCAGTAGAACCTAATTGGTGAGTTTTTTACCAGTGATAAGTGAATCATTGTGTAGGTAATGAAGGTATCACAAATGAGAAGCTAATTTGTTTTATCGTTCAGGTACATACCAATTATACCTATGATTCTGGCTAATGGAAGTGTAGGAATTGGAAGTGGATGGAGTTCGAATATCCCCAATTTCAATCCGAGAGAGATTGTTTCCAATTTGAGGCATTTACTGCGAGGAGAGCCAATAGATCCAATGAAACCCTGGTATAAAGGGTTCAAGGGAGACATAGATATAAAGACAACAAGAAAAGGGAAACTCAGCTACATTGCAAGAGGAAAGATAAAAGAAGTAAATGAAACTACAGTTCGGATTGAGGAGTTACCAATCCAAAAATGGACCGAAAAGTATAAAAAATTTCTGGAATCAAACATGACAGGGAATGCTAAAAGCGAAAATCCATTCATAGAGGTATTTTTTTTTGCTCCTTATTGTACCAACATTCCAACACGCATACAAGTACAGACATATTAGTGGCCCAATAGGAACTTGAACAACCTCCCAAATGCTTTCTTTTTATATGCTTTTTAACAACTATGCCTGCTTGACATTGTTTTGCTGTGAGCCTGCTTAGTTGAGTAATATGTACTCATGGTATTACCAGCAAGATTGTTCTTTGATTTAACTTTCTCATGATTTTGTCCAAGAAATTTTTTGCTTGGAAAAATTTCGCATGCCTTGTTTCTTCTTTATGTTCTACTCCTCACCATCATCATTACCACTTTGGTTTCACTTCAGGATGACGCGAATGAAGAAAATCTATGTTGAGCTTTAAACCAAGTTATACGTTAATGAGGCATCTACCCACCTTAGAAATTGGACATATGCTGAGTTGCTATTAGGATTTTAGATGAATCAGTTATGTTTTTCATATAATTTATAAATTTTTATGTATTTATTTTTCTATAGGGTTTCAGAGATCACAACAGTGACACAAATGTGGATTTTGAAGTTTCCTTAACCAAGGAGAATTTGGACGAGGCCAGGAAAGAGGGTTTGCTGAAGAAATTTGATCTTACTTATCCAATCAACCTAGGGAACATGAACCTTTTTGACTCAGAAGGCATGCTAAAGAAATATGAAAGCCCTGAACAAAGTATAAAATTGATACCACATAGACTAACTCAGTTTATTCTGTTTATAATATATATATAACATTGCTTTATTGTATATTCATTTCTTTTCCTTTTGCAGTTCTTAAGGAGTTCTTTCCTATAAGACTTGAATTCTACAAGAAAAGGAAGGCAAGTTGGTCAAAAATGAAATTAAATTGCAGATATTTTAATTTCTTGGTTACTTTGTATACATGGCTACTAACAAGAAAATAATTTTCTTGCTCAGATGTTTATGCAGAAAAATCTTGAACGGAAATTGTTGATAGTGAAGAACCAAATTAGGTTGTGGAATAATTATACTGCGATCGTGCAGCCAACAGAAGGGAGTCAGGTATTGCGAATGCGAGAGCTGGGCCTTCAAACTTTTGGGGAGATAACAGAAACTCCGGAAGCAGATCTAGAAAGTGGTTATGCATACCTGGCTATGCCAGCGGAATTCTTCGCACCCGAAGGGTTACAGAAAATACAAGATTCTGAGGCTAAACTTCAGAAAGAGCTTGATGATATTAATGAAGAAAGTCCTGAGTTTACGTGGTTAAAAGAACTCAACCAATTTGAGGAAGCCCTTGACCAATATGAGAGAGACACAGCAGAATCCAGCCAAGGAAAGAGAGACCGAGATGACAGTGACAAAGATCGAGATGATAGTGACAAAGATGAGGGTGGTAGCCCAAAGCGTCTGAGACAAGAGTGAGGGAGATGAGGGTCGTATCCCAAAGAGAACAGAGGGCCAACTGTTGGAAGAAAAAAAGACAAGTGTAATTAAAATGGTGTAGCAACACGTACATTCCTCTGCCCGGTAGCCTTGGTTTTCAGCTGTCTCTGAGGTGCTTTTGGCCTTGCCCTTGTTCATGGTTATATTTCCAGTTCCCCTGTTTTTTCTCCCTTATTGCCTGGGATTTCTTCCTACCGGGCAGTGTTTGTTGCTATGCATGGTGCCAAGCTTGCTGGCTCTGGCTTTGCGTATGTTCTGGTGGGTGCCTGTCTCGGGCTGTTTTGCGTCTCTATGGTGGTAGTTTTTAGCTGGTTTTGGCTTGGCCTTCTTTTCTTTTGTTGCCTTTTTGGCTTCTTGGCCTTGGTTGAATGTGTGGCCTCTAGGGTATTCCCCTTATAAATTTGTATATTCTGTTGTTTTTTACTTACATTATTTATTTACCTAAATAGAAACATTATATCCTTCTATTGGAAGTAAAATATCATAACTGGGATTTATCACTTGATAGTCGGGTAGAAGTTAAAAGACTTCTATTTCAGTAGCATATAACATGCTGAGTAAACCACAATTTAAGGTATCAAGTCCGTTATTCTTTATTAAAAAAAGGAAGTCAATGCTAAATAATTTGAACTGCAAAGCATATTTTATTAGGAATTAACATTGTGTTTTTTTAACAGCTTATTGCATTTGGAATTAAAATTGTATTTTCTTAAAAACTGATCCAATTTAAAGAAGTTACCGTTCTCATCCAAAGTCTTGGGGGTTTAATTTTATCTGGAGTTTATGACCTTCCTTTTGTGGCTCCCCTTTCTTTGTTAAGTTTTTTTAATAGATATACGTTTCTCTTCTTCTTTTTTTCTTTTTTTCTTTTTTTGTGTGTTTATTAGAAAAATATTGATAATTTTTAGTAAAAACATTTCTATATGTATTCTACTCAGAATTGTGGACATAATGATAACTACACTTTTTTATCGGATTCCCAATTATCTGTCTCTTTATTTTTTAAGAATTTATGTTACATGAACTCAGATAAGTGTGGAGGGTGCAGGGATGGATTTTATTTGTTGATAGTTTCAATTTTATGTAATGAACACTTGGAGAACTTGTTGATGACTGGGAAGTAGTTAGGAATTTCGATATAAATAGTTGTAATACAAGTGTTCATTACATAAAAGTGAAACACTTGTATTACAACCTACATTGAGAAAAAGTTCAACCTACATTGTGTTTGTGATATCCTATATTTTTGTTAGCATAATTAATTAATTATGTTTAGTGTGTTGAATTTCATTTGATTTAAATTAATTTTAATTCAACTAGTAGTGGTGATGGAAATTGAGAAATATGAAAAGTAGGTGGTAAAGAATGAAAAACACGTTGGCGTTTAATTAGGGAAAATAATGGACAACCTTTTTTTTTCCCTGCAAAATGACAGAAGAATCTTGAATTTCTTTAATCCCAACTATTAGTTGTTAGGCACCTAAAAATCATTAGGCTCAGTCAAGATTGGGACCTATGACAATCATGGAATCAAATTCATTAGTCCATAGAACTGTGTCAAGAAACATCACACACAGACACACATGATTATTAGCTTCTCAACATCAGCAAGAAACCAAGACAGTTTGACCTCAATGCCATAATCATCATCTTGGTTTTCATAGCATTTCATGGCTTTGGTCCTCAAAACAAGTAGTCTAATTTAGATTATTTGTTACTTTAAAAGCTCAAGTGGGCAATCAGAAACTAAATACAAAATTCCAGAAGCATAAATCTGCAGGCCATGGCAGATTATTGGAAGTTAATGCGCAATTCCAAAAATGAAATTGTGTGCTATCATCAATCATTAATATATTAACTAATTTAGATTATAGAAATAGCACTCCGAAAACTGAGTTTCTCTAATGAAAATTTGTACACAATTCATTGAAAATCAAACGGAAGTCCCTCTGTGTTCAACTGGGGAACATCCACCCAGGCACATCTCTCAATAATACAGCTTTGTCTTGGTTCTCACTGGCCTTCCAAACCTTGAAGTCATGATCAAAGTAGGCAGCATCACTTCATCGCTTTAGTGAACGCATCGAAAAAGGCCCCTGTACATTGCCCTGAGGATCCATATAGTGCCAACCTGGTTTTGACAACCCAGATCTTCAGTTTCTTTATCATCGTCGCTCAGATCAATCACCAGAGGAGCCCTCACCTGCTTGTCCACCGCTTTCACTGTTTATCACAACTGGTGGCACTTTCTGCTGTTGGGCAAAATCAGCAGGCTGATCTGCTTCAGATGACAATGGACAAACAATATCAAGGATAGGATACTTCTCACGTAGATAATATACTGAACAATAACTAATTTAGGTGTAAAATGAGCAGGAATTTTTTCTTAATTGTCCAATCAATAGCAGAAACCTAAACCCCAGTAGGCTTTATCTGCAGGCAAGGTTCCAGCCAAAGGGTGTCATTACTGCCTCACCGACTTTTGAAAGTCCCAATCTCCTCCAACTGCAAGTCTCTCAGTTGAGACTAGTATTCTTATAGTATAATAAATAATTATCCAGAAAAACATAACGAGACATGACACGGTTAACCAGTGGGTATACTTTCCTACACAAGGACTGATAAAATGATAAAAATTTCAGTTATCAGGAAAAAGACACACACACGACACCAAAAAGCAAAAAAAACTCAATAAAAATGCTCACATCACGAAATAAAATGTTTTAGATATTTGTTGGAGCTAATTTTTATGTTTTTGTTGTAGCCTTTCTTTTTTTTTTTCAGTTCCTAGCTCTTGCCATGTCATAAGAGCATCAGTGCTTAATGCTCTTTTCTTGTCCTGCATGTTGCCACCATATCAAGAAGAAAATGGAAACGTAGCCTTTTTGTTGTCCTGCTTGGATATCTGATATCTCAAAGTCAGATGGGATTTCCGTAGAAATTTTTGGAACATCATTTATTCATAACAGAAATTGTAACTACTTGAAAAAAAGGTAATCAGCAAACCTAAATGTTAAAGCATTGCCATTTTTGTAGTCTCAAGACTTTGACTGCTCAGTGATTTCATTTATTGTTATGTACAAAAATGTGAAGATCTATGGTCTAGAGTCAGAAACTGATATCCAACACTAAATTTATCAGCTAACTCACAAGATTATCAGATTATTTATTTACTTTTATCATCTTGATCATTCATTTCACTGCTTCTCTAACTTAAAACAAAGAAATTAAAAGCCTCCCTAATGGCGGATATAAGAGAAAAAGAATCTGCCAGATCTAAGTCAGATAAAACTGGAACTAGAGTAAGCATAGCTGTATAAGTGTAATTGTGTGAGTGAGTGCGGGGGGATTAAGAATGTGAAAGTGTCAAAACCCAGAAATCCATCACCGAATGCCATAAATGATAAATCAATATATATGAAATGTCTTCTTCTAAAAATCAAAATTTTATTTATTAGAATAAACCAAAGTATCTACTTATGCATATATTTAGTTTGTTTCCTACTATTTTGAAATTATATGCCAGAAGATTATATACATGTATACTTTCATTTCTCTCACAGAAAAGTGTCTGGAACAAATGGAAGGTGAGTGACAGATGTAATTTCTCTTATGGGAATCCCGTATGACCTAGATCAGCATCTCGATGTACTATGTTGATTTCAACCAGCTGGAACTATTAGATGTGATTTCATTGATTAAGTTTGAGTTTTCTTCTGAAGGGAAAAAAATGGAGATCTTTCTCTAAAAACTGATGCTGCTGCATTGGGATGGCAATGGGGCGGGTTTAGACAAACCCTACCCCACCCCACCCCGTTAACAAATAACACACCCCATCTGCGTTAAAAAGCCATCCTGGGTTTTTGCTCAAGTTCCCATCCCCGTCCTGTGAATACTAAGAACCCGTTCCCGCACCATAACCCGTTTCCACAATTGCACAGAGAGAACGAACTATGAATATATAAAGAGATTTGATAAAGACATCAAATATTGTGATTTGAGACCCTACCCCACCCCACCCCGTTAACAAATAACACACCCCATCTGCGTTAAAAAGCCATCCTGGGTTTTTGCTCAAGTTCCCATCCCCGTCCTGTGAATACTAAGAACCCGTTCCCGCACCATAACCCGTTTCCACAATTGCACAGAGAGAACGAACTATGAATATATAAAGAGATTTGATAAAGACATCAAATATTGTGATTTGAGAGAAGCATAAAAAAAATATATATAGATCTACATATAGAAAAAAAGACATCAAATACTCATGTAGATAATAGATACAGGATTCTGATTGGAGACTTTCTATTTAGATTGAAAGAATGATCGGAGACCGATATCATGATCAGATTGGAGTGTTCTCCATAGATAGATATGGTATACAACACACACACAGAGGAGATTGAGAAAGAGATGGACATCATGTTAGTCTTACACACTAAAGGTCCCCAGTTTCATATTAATGTTATTGACATTTATTTATATCTTAAATGTCCAGTGCAGGTAAAGATTGCACTCATCCTCATCATTGTTGCCTTTTATCCCAAATGAATTAGACAGGTCACATGAATTCTATAACATGTCATGTCTTCTTTTTATATCTAATTTTTTGAAGTCATTTTTAATTACTTTACCCCACATTAGTGTTATTCGGCCTCATTGTCTTTTATCTTCTACACAAACTAATCTTCCCCTATGCATTGGCAGATCAACATTCTAGGTGTCCATACTATCTAAAGCCTACTTGATCTTATTTTGTCACTAATAAACATTGTTCCTAGTCAAAGGAAACATTTTTGCCAAATAGCGGGATACTCCCTCTGTCCCCCAAAAAAATGTCCCTTTTTGGGAATTGTGACACATTTGGGAATTGTGACTCACAATGCGTCACAATTCCCAAAAAGGGACATTTTTTTTTGGGATAGGGGGAGTAGTTTTCAAAGATGAACAGTACTATCAAGATATAGGGAAACACTGGCATACTAATTAGATATCATCAAAGGATATTCTTTACGCCAACCCTTCTCATTGGCTCAATCAATGAGGTTTTGCAACAAAACAAGTCCCCTCACAAGCCACTTAAACCAATACAAAAAAATGAAGCAGAAAGGATTAGAGAGAGTTCAAAATTAAGAGTGATGAAGTTGAATACAGGGGGATGAATGGATAGTGAGATTCTAAACTAATGTGACAACTAATAACAGCACATAGAGAATCAATTATGTTCTAGGGATTTGATGAAATATATTGGCTACATGAGAAAAGGGATTCATATCATTGGATGGCAACAATTTCTATGATGTATACGAATTAGTATATAATTAGCCCAACTCTATAACAACAACAATTTTATAAGATATATAGAACAATATGGGTGTTTTGATATATCGATTGTGTTCTGCCAGAATTCTTAAATGACATTACCATAAAAACAATTGCAAAATGGGGATCTTAAATTTAAATTTTCAGTCATTAAGCAGACATCCAATAAACTATATGTAGCAAGTGCGGCCAGGTATATAGAAGAGAGAAGATAAAAAAGAAGATGAGAGTTTAGAAGATCGGGGCAAACTAGTGCACACCTTTGACTGGGTTTTCCCTCTATTCATATTACTATTATCGAACTAACTGAAACGATATCCCTCCAACAAGAAGGGGAAACAAAAAAAGACTATTGATCTCTTTTACTTCCAATTCTAATTTAGAGTCTATGTAGATACAAATACACAAGCAAATTCATATATCTGTATGTATCTATGTACATATGCATGCCAATATGAATTATTAAGATTTTAGCATCAAATGAAATCTCTTCCTTGGTCCTACAGTCTCCAAAAGGACTATTGACACAATTATTAAATTCAACCATTGCTATATGTTATATGTAGGTACTGTAACTGATATTTTACAATGCGACTGTATCCGACAACATGTCAGGATATACTAATATTTGTTGAAACAATTTATTTTGTCGACTCATTGATGGATACGATAAATTGCTACATCAATATATTAACATCTAAAGGGCTTGCCCGGTGCGTGAGGATCAATATACTAACATCTATGAATGAATATATCTTTTCTTACTGTACATTGAGTAACCAATGCATTACTACTATAGATTCCAAATTGTTACAAGAGCTTAAATTCCAAGTATGTCAGGGTAAAGCATACATTCAGGAATAATTTTCACATATAATTAAGTGTTCTTTCTGAGTCTTTCTGAGTCTTTCGAATTATTACTCAATGGCAGCATAAAGTCCGAGACTTCTGTAACTGCAACTTCTCCATATGTTTTCTTTCTCCTCTTCAGTCTCACAGTTGGCACCTTCACTTATTTTATAAGTTTAAGAAGTTAATCAATATTCACATTAGGATTTCTACAATAAATATGCTAAATATCAGTTGATAGAGATCTTTAGTTACAATTATGCTAAGATTAAATTTCTGAAACTAGTAAAAACATAGTACATTCATGTGTAAAGAAAAGCAATTTAATGATGCATCAACCGAGAACGCCTTCCAACAAATACTTTTACCACTAAAATTGAAACGTTAATAACTAGTAAATTTTCTTTCATGACATTCCCGGACATTTTTTGTTCAGCAATTTCTACTTTATTGATTCCAGAAGTTCATTTCAGAATGTCCACATGTAGATAAATAAATTCACAAATGCATATATCTATTAGTGTATTGAAATGTACATTAATATATCAGTAGAAATTTATGTTTTCTGTATTTTGACAATTCCCCTGGTCTGAGAAACCAGTGTTTTTTTATTAGTGCATTCATAAAAAGAGAATCTATTAGTGCATTGATATATACATTCATATTTCAAATGGATATGATTGTTCAAAGAATGCTGCTAGGTATGTAAAAGCTCAACCTATCAAGAGTGAGAACATTGATACAAGTCTGAGGACAACCATTTTTATGCCATCTTATAAGATGGCAGCCACTGATTTCAGGATAAAGATGGCCATATAACCAGTCATTCGACAACATTTCTTGGGTGCAAATAATTTCTTGGAGGGTGTGAGTGCCAACTAGGAAAAAAAAAAATATCATGTGAAAATAACCACCATAGTTTAAAGTCATCGACCCATAGGGTCCATCTTCAAGAAGGCCCGAATGAAAGACCCAAGCCTACATGCACGGCCCCTCCAACAAAGTCCTACAAATGAAGACTCGGGCCTGTCGAGCCTGTTTTCCTTGATGAGAGCCCTCAGAAGGGCCGAAGCAAAGCAAGCCCAAGTCCATGCAAGAATGCCCCTAGATTTCCCCAAATTCAAAGTCCATCAAAGGTGGCTCCTCCCATGAAAAGGATCAGAGCCCCATCAAATACTCTCCTACTCCGAGTCCATGCAAATACTAAAATTGTACTAGCTAGCCATTGGTGACCATTAAGTTTGGTAAAAAAAGGTTAAAATAAAGATAACTTAAAAGTTATGATAACTAAAAGTAATAGATTCTCTTTTAAAGCATCTTCCATGAGTTTGATTGACTGTAACATATCCTGCATATTGCTTGAAACAAGGTGGAGATTATTCACAAATGCATATATCTATTAGTGTATATTTCAATGCACTAATAGATTCACTTTGTCCAATTATTGATGTTCTCACTCTTATATTATTTGCTGCTATTTCTTTGCAAAATGATATGCAATGCACTACTTCAAGTTGGCCGATCTGATTTGAGACTTGAGTAAGCATATATTAGTCCATACATGAAGTATTCTCTACTACACAGGAAAGAGCAAAACGGTGTCAATGCCAACCATGACAATGCACACGCAGATATATGTACATATATATATATATATAATATGGGCAATGATATCATGTTCAAAAAGTAAACAAGTTAGACTAGTATACAAGAAGCTGTACGTTGCCAATATTAAATTGGTGAATGTATCGCTTACTCAAACGTGAGATGAGTTTGTATGTTAAAAGACCTTGTTAAAGAACACTGCCACACACTAATACACACACTAATGTTGTGTTTCCTCTCCAATGATTTTTAGGGACGGCCGTTTGTCAATTTTATCCTTGTGGTCATTAACTTTTCTAAAACGTAATCTTGAACCAGTCCATTGAGTTGGCCCCAACCCAAGGAGGATATTGATAGAAGCAGTAGTAATCTTTGCTTCATGAGAATTGGTTCCTCCAGGTCCCGGCCACTCATTCTAACCCACTGCCAAAAGTTAACGCTACTCTACTTAGTCCTGGTTTTCCATGTACGTCCTTGAGCTGAGTTGGTTGTATACAAAACTTTTCACTGTATCTGCAGCTAGTAGGGCACCTCGTCACTACAACCAGACTAATATTATTGACTTCAAAAGTTTTGAACACCAAACCCCCAAAATTGAAAGCACCAATTGGTTCATATATATATATATATATTTAAGAATAACTAACCTCTGGGAGTTATCTGATTATCTTTTATTTGCTTATTTAAGCCATAAGAATAATGACCGAGTCTCCGTTAATAGTCATGAGTGATAAGGTATTAACGGAGACTCAGTAAAGTTATGTCATGTATTTACTTATGTCTATTAACAGAGACTCGGTAATTCAAATACCATTTATACTTCCCCCCCTCATGGTTTCATATCGTAGGTGGGACTACAGCTCCACAAATACGTGCAATCTCCACTGTTACCATAGCGCTCGCTATCTTGAGCTGTTCAAACGTTCCCTGAAGCTCAATGTTCTTGAAATAAGGATTTGACTCGTGCTCGAATGAATAGTTGCGAGAGAGCCTATTTTTCAAATCATCATTCCCAATGATGGCTCCAGCAATGGAAGCATCTACACCAATTAGGGCAATGAGTGGGTCATGAGCAATGCTCAAGAGATGACCTAAGCAACGTCACGTCTCCATACAAGAAAAACGGCCTCAAATCATGACACAGGGATGATCAAAGGGTAGAGACGCTTAACAGTAGAATCACTCCCACAATATTCTCAGAGCAATAATCTCACCTTGTTTCTCAGCAATAATCTCCAACAATACTTATAAAAAAATTGATAGACTTTTCCACATCATTCAAAAATCAGGACCTAATGCATATTTCTTTGACTGGTCTTTGGATATGAGTACTAGTTCAATTTTTGATGTGGAGTATCTGTTACCTAACTGAGGCACCTTTGAGCCTCCTATTTTGTTGGCATGTGTTCCTACAGGCAACGTTCCATCTTTCTCAGCATCAGCACTGGCACTTCCATCTTCTCAGCTGCAGTATATGGATTGGATTGATCGTATCTGGGATGTCCACAATTACCTTCCAGCTTCAGATTTTACATGGATAGTAGCAAAACAACTTTATTATATTGACTCTTACTTTTTTTTTTTTTTTTTTTTTTTTTTTTTTGATAAGTATATTGACTCTTACTTTTTGAAGATATACATTTGCATTTACTCTCTGGAGGAGAGTTTCTCAACCGGGAGGGAATGATGGAGAACCGGGCCTGGCCCGAGAGCTTGAAGTCCATATGGCCCACACCTACTATTGGAGACATGGGAAAGAAAGAATTAGGGTTTTTGCTTTTATAATTATTATTGAATTTTAGGTTTTTATTTATGGTAATAGGAATTTTAGGGTTATTTCTATGCCTATTTATATGTTGGTTTAGACATTGTGAAAGACAACTTTTGATATTGATTATTGATTATTGATTATTATTCAGAAATTATTGTGGTTTCTTCTCCCTCAATTCTAATTTCCCCCTCTGTTATTCTTCTCTTCTTCCTCATTCTGATTTCTTCCCCTATTATTCTTATTATATTTCTCTCTCAATCTCTATTTAACCTCTTTCTTATTTACTTGAATTATGTTCTCGAATCGCCCGTAACCACTACTGCATCAAACACCCTCGTTAGTGAGACTTAAATTAGGTGCAGTCCATTAAATGATAGTTCAGATAAGCCCTTTAAGTCGGCAATACCATTTTGGTGGCTTCTGAAAAATACAATATCATCTCCAAAATTGGCTAATACAGTAACAGCATTATCTGGATCATAAACAAGTATAAAGCTGTCTAAGGAATACCAATATTAATATTGCAAACCCAGCACTAAGAGACAATTTTAGCCTGACTTGAGCTTATAATCCTAGATAGGCAGCAAATAGACTAAACAGTTCATGAACTTGCACTTGGTTCGTTAATAAGATAAAAACTCATTTGTATCATAGACAAGCCAAGCTTAAGCTTTAATTTTAGGCTCATTGAATAAACAATTCATGCTTGAACAGCCCAAGCTCAGCTTGCTCTAGCTTGTAGTGTAATGGTAAGTATATAGTTTGAGTTATATAGTCACATGTCATCAGATGTTTGGTTACATCAGCTTAAATGCTGAAATCAAATGTAGCTTATCTCAATTATCCAAAATACTCCTGCCAATATCAGAGTTTTAGTGAAGAAAAACTCAAGAAATTCATGGGATGAATATATCAAAGAGAGAGAGAGACAGATAGAGAGAGAGATGGGAATGAGATGATGAAAAGTGACTAAGAAAGGCAGATCACAACCCATTTGAATTTTTCATATCAGAGATAATGAGAAGAGAAAGGAAAACCTGGAACTCATCTAGGAAGGGGGGTACCCGGGGTAGTAATTCTGTCTTGAGTCATGAAACCACTTAGATCTGGCCCTTCTTGAAGTTCAAAGAATTGGATTGGAGTTTTAACACATTTATTTAAATAGTTTCATTTTGGGTTGCCTTACCTCAATCTATTTATAAATGAATCAACTTCATCTTGACCTGCCCAAAACGAGTCATGAAAATTATATTTATTAACAAATATACTATTTTATTACCATGTCTCCATTAACTATATATTTTGCCTTTATGCATTAACTTTAATTAATATTTCGATTTGACGTCATTACTATGATATTTTTTATTATTTAATAATATTTTTATATTGTAATTGTTTTAATTATTTTTACTTTTTAAATTTAAAACTTTAAAAAAGATAATTTTATAACTTAGATATATGGTTGGATTTGGACCATTCAGTAAATGGGATCAAGCTTGGGGAGAATATGTGTTAAAATATGCTAACAACCCAATCCCATATGTGTTAAAATAAGTTAACTGAACCCACTGAGCTTGAACAGATCGAAGACCGTATTGGCGAGATTAATAATTATAAAAATAAAAGAAAATGAGTTATACAAGACTTTTATTTCTGGAGTAGATCCATCATCATTTTTTTATGGTAATTCTATGATTTATTGGAATGCCTGTTACGAACTTTGTAGAGATGAATTAGCATTCCAAGTTTTATCTGAAGGCAATTCTACAGTAATGAACTTCAACTTTCTTTTGATGTACCTAAAAGCAAAAAAGGAATGATGTTTCTGTCATTGTCATGTTTCTCTGCCTTCTTGCTAGTAAAGGGCATGCCCAAACTAGTTCTTTGGCTTCTCTCATTGTCTGTCTTCTGTGATCTACTATAAGTGATCACTTCTCCTTGTACTTTCTTGCTTCATTTACTTTTATAAATTTCCAACATTTAGGGAAAAAAGGAATGAAGAGCTATAGTGAATTGTGTGTAAATAAATGACATTACCTTATGTATACGGGTGTACTTGATCTTGTGTATGTATACATGTATGTACACATAATGCATTTCATTTGATCAAAATTACTTTACAGACATACAAATAGCATATTTTCTATATGAATTAAGACAACAGATTGTAACCATTTATCAGAAGCATTATAGCAACAGATGGAATAGCACTAACCTTGTCCTCCACCAGTAAGCTTGACCTGTACACCCTTGTCAACAAACTTTGCCAAATCCAATACTGTTTCTTTCCTGCCTGACTGAAACCTGGGCACATGGCATACTGAATAAAAAAAACACCAAAACAAAAATAAGCCAGAGGCATTTTTTTTGTCTATAGTTCAAAGTATTTGTTTGTTATTTGCAATTGCTTTGTAAGTGGAGGTAGTGCTAAAGTTGTACCTATGGAGCAATTGTGCATTTGAAGTCGAGGTTGTGGTGATGGTTTGCAGCTGAATGTAGTGGTATGGTTTAAGTCTTTTTAGCAATGGCACCAGTAGAGGTAATGTTTATGGTTGGTATGGCAATGGCCAATGGTGATTGTGAACTTGGCCATAGTGTTCTACAATACGCAATTTAAGTCGAAAAGCAAGGCTCCATTCGACGCAATTCTGGTTGCAATATTTAAAAATTCCTGTGTTTGTTGTTTCGTGATCTATTATTGTTAATTGATTTTTTTGTCGGACAACATTCACCAAACTTATGCAGACACACCCGCAAATAAAATAAAATAAGGGTCCTAAAAAAATCCGTTCAAAGTTCAAACAGACCCTATGTGTGTCTATGTTTTCCTTTTCAAAAAAAAAAAAAAAAAAATTGTGAATTGTGTGTGATAAAGATAGAGTCTTTTTCCAACACAAGACTGCAACCTAGAGAGAAGGGAGGGATACCATTCTATGGAGTCTCAAGTCTGGAAGCTTCTTTTCAGTCCCTAGAGAGAGACCACAAATTGCCCAAGTACAAACCTGACAACCAACAAACACAAAACACACAAGCTTTTCTAAAAGCAATAATTGGATCAAATGAAATACACGGGGAATGGGAATTTATGAAATACACAGGGAATGGGAATACACAATCGGTAAACCTAAAACCCAATAAACCCGGAACACATGTATAATACACAGGGAACGGGAATTTATGAAAAATGAATGAAATATCAATAATAGGATCAAATACACCAAAGAATACTTGTCTGGTAAGACTGGTATACAATTCCATCATTTCTAAAAGCATAAAAAAAACAATGAGAACAAATTGAATATATATATATATATATACAGTATGTATTATATTACTATGTATGAGTATATAGACGGAGAAAGGGTGAGAATGCGAGCTAAGCTAACCTTTGTGTAGTTTCAGTGGGGATGCAGAAAGAGGAGCAGAGAAGTGTGTCCTGTGTTCTGTGTCTGACAAGCGGGTACTCGATCAAGTTCCCAGATAATGGCAAAGACCCTACTCCTGCTCGTGAGTAATACTCCTCTGTCCCTCTCTCACAGTTCCCAAAAGACCACGTTTAATTTGGGACAGAGAGTAATAAATTGTTCGCTAGTTTCGTGGGCCTCTTTGATTATTTTGCGATTGGACCAAAAGTTTAAGTGGGAATAATTCGATTTTTCTTTTCTTTTAAACTCTTGTTGCGAATCACTTTGTTTATTCAGATAGCACATTATCGTGACACTAAAATTAAGGATTGAATTTGATTGTAATATCAACTGTCATAATGAATATATTCAAATCTTAAGATATTAGATTAAGGTAACACCTTAATTAGAAAAGCGCCAATTCCGCTTTAATTACACCTTGTACATTTGTCAAACTAATATTCTGAATTCCAAAATGTTAATGGACTGATCGCTGACAACCCAATCAATGACCCAGTTCAATTGCCAAGCGTTGTGTATTTACCCAGAGATTTCAGTCTTTTTATTGTTACTAGTGTAAATTACATTTTCTTTTTATAATTTTTTTTTTTTATCTTATAATTTTACTATATATATATATATATATATATATATATATATATATATATTGTAAATATGCATTTTAACAAAATAAATTCCTAAAATAATAAAATAATGATTAATTACAATAAATTATTATTAAAATAAATAAAAGTTTAAACACATTTTTAATTTTTTATTGAAGGAAGAGGAAGAATTTTTCACTAATTAAATATCCATGTATATGTTTATATGTGGGATATAGTATATAAGTTTGGAAACTGATACAATTAATGTGAGGTATGAATTATTATACTTTTATATTTCAATGAATTTTTTTATGTGAAAAAAAAAAAATCAAAAGTGTTAATAAATTTCTTACATTTTTAGAATAGTATAGATATAAATAAATACAGATATAGATATAAATTATGAATAAAATTATACTAACATTAAACTTTTTTTCATCAACTTAAAACTATTATTTTTCATAATTTCGTATAAATTTATTTTATAATATTTTTAACTAATTTTTTTTCTATAACATCACTTTAAGAATTTTAAAAAAAGTTCATTACACAACTTTGGGTAAATTACTCTTAGCTCCTGAGGTAAAGCTTATATTATCTTTAGGCGAAAGTTTTGAAAAAATTACTCTTACACCCCTTATTACCCTAATTGTTATTATACAACTGATTTTTCACTTTGTTGACTGTTGTAATCCTAATAATACATATAGCTTTAGCCTTCATATATAGGAGACCTGGTGAATTGTTGGGTTTCTTTTGGTCTGATGAGAGAGTAGAAGAGAAAACGAGCAAGAAGTGGAGAGAAAAGGGGCAACAACGTAATTTGATTCAAAAAAAAGTAAAAAGAGTATTTTAAGTAATAAAATAAAACAAACCATAGAACTCCATGTCCTGATGTCCATGACGTCATCATAAAGCAACTTTATTTTCTTGTTAAACTACGTAGTTTCAAACTACGACATCCTTTAACAAAAAAAAAATCAAACTACGGCATCCTAATGTAAATTTAAACCCATAAGTACAATTATATGTAAAAATCTCTTAAATTTACCTAATAAAATGAATTTCCAATCCATATCGATGTCTGTCATCATTTGAATCAACTTTAATTTTTTTTTTTTTTAAACTATCAAAAAAAACTCTGAATTATATGTTACCAATTAACAATATTTATATGGTATTATTATCACATTTCTCTCTAATCTCTCTATCAAGAAAATCTTCATGCCTGTTCATTATTCATGACATTAATTAACATAATTAACTGTTCATTACATAAGAAAAAAATAATGAACACTAAACAAACAACTTGTAACCAAGAATGTTGAGAACATCTGCTTAATCCACTGCTTATTGCTCATGACATATATTAAACGAATGAATGAACAAATTTCCATTATATGAACATCTAACACTGAACTAATTAACTAATACCAACTAACATGCAGTTCACTGTAGTCTGTATGGGAACTCTAGAAACAATAAAAAGCTATACAGAATTTAATCATACACCACCATATATATATACACACACACATACAACCAATAATTAATCAATAACGCCTATATATATTGAATCTTATATATATAGGGATCAAAAGGGCCATTGGGTTCAACATAAGTGAGATAAACAAGTCGATCCTCGGAATACAGAGTTTCTTATTGAATGGCGATGCCCTCTTACCATAGTTATCAAAATGGCGATGCCCTCTTATCATAGTTATGAAAATCGCGATTCTGAATCGTAAATTCGCACGATTCTACGACTCAGAACTCAAAATCGAGTCAAATCGTAGCAGAATCGTTCAATTGGTAGAATTGGAAGTCAAATCGTAGAATCGGAGGTAGAATCGTACGATTCTACACGATTCTACCGATTCTACAAAATTAGTTGTTTGGGCCTTTATTTTTGGGCTTTTTTTATTTTTTGGTTGGTTTCTTCTGGATTACAAAATAAAAGCGGCCTAGCCCAAGTATAGTATACAAAGTTAAATATTTATTCTATAAAATATAAATTATTTTTCATTATTGGCAGAAAAAGAAATATATATATGTATATATATCAATTATTTTTACCATGCATGTCGATGTTCCATAATATATTTTTGTGTTTAATTATAAAAAATTAAAATGATCAATTATATCTCAAGGATGCATACTTGTGACTAACGCATTTAGGCAAATTTTGGTTTCATGATCAATATTTTCGTTTGACTATTTTTTTTTTTTTTTTTGAAGGCTTATCATATATATTAAAAATTAAAAATAATTTAAAAGCTTAAAAGACTTGCCGGATATGCCAACTAAGGTATAATATTGTAGTCTAAACTGATAATATAGTGAGATTGAGTTAACACATGGTTCATTAATTTTGTTGTGCTAACTCTTGATTAATTTCATACTTGTGACTAATAAGGTTACATACACTGTAACACTTGGATTGGTGGACAAAAAGGTCTTTTTATTTCTTCAGTTTTCCAAAAAAAAAAAAAAATTCCTTTTGATATGTAATTTTAGTTTCTAACTTTGGATATGGATGAGTTAAGATTTGAGATTTGTAAACTTATGTTATTTTGAGCTACATTCTCTTTTATTTATACTCATGGATATGTAGTATTGTGTGTTTTGGCTTCATTTTTGTTATATTTTACATAACTTATTGTATAAGAAGTTAGTTTCAATTGGTTTTTTACAATTTGGTAGAATCTTACCATTCACAATTTGATTCCACGATTCCGATTTTACAGAGTCCAAAACGATTCTGCGTAGATACTCGATTTTTACAACCTTGCCTCTTACTTTCTTATTTTCTTATTCGTGCATTCTGCTACTGCTCACATGCACCATCCTCTGCCGGAGTTTCGGCAACTTTAACAACAGCAAAGCGAAACTGATCTCGATCGGAATCAAAGATGAGGATGGAGTTTCGGCATTCTGCTGCGTTTGGTTGAGGCTGATGAAAAAATGCGCGCGCAAACGAAGATTTGAAGAAGTAGAGGCTCTAGAAAGAGCTCGATCATTGTGAATACTTCAATATGAAGATGAGGATGGAAGCAGATATTAAAGATTTTTTGCTGAAAATGGAAGCTACAAAACTAAATCTCACCAACGTGATCGGCTGATCAGCAGAAAGAGTATTTCTTAAGAACTATTAGCAGCATCATCAGGAACTTCTACTTTCAGACACTGAGGTTTCATATGCTGTGTTTTGATGTGTATAACATATGAATTTTGGGACTGTATATATCTATAATTGACCATCTGACATTATAACAGGTTCTGCAAAACATACAAACCATGAATCATTTCAAGTATACAAGCTAGTACTAGGCATTTACAAATTCCACACCATTCCATCTAAGATTATGCCACGCGTCATCAGTGGTAATCACAGGCTTTTATGCGCCTCAACGTGTTGGATCTTTGCAACTCCGTCACCAAGCTACCACATGTCATTAGTGGTCATCACGCGCCTTAATGTGTTGGATCTTTACAACTCCATCACCAAATTTGAAAACTTATTTCCAAATTCAATACGATTTCATATAACCCACCTTAAGAGGAGATGTTAGATGATATTAAGACTTAGACTTTGAGATGGGATATTAAATGATATTAGGGTGCATTGCCACCGCTCACCTGCCCTTGTTTTCCATATATAGAGTTACTTGGGCAACACTTACGTAACTCCTATGAATTGATAAGATGACATTTTAAAAAAAAGAAAAAAAAATTAAACTCTGGTAGTATGACTAAAAATGGTAGTAACTTATCAATACTTTCTTACAAAAAAGAAGAAAACAGAGAGAATTCTTTTATAAGGGCAAAGTGGGTTATTTTTTATTTTATTTATTTATTTTTTCTAAAACCGTTCTCACTAATGCTATGTTCGATGGGAAAGAAAAAAATTGGATGGAAGGGAGAGAAGAAGGGATGGATGAGACATCCCTAGAAAAGGAGAAAAGAAGAGATGAATGAGACATCCATATGAAGAGATTGTGTATTTCCTTCTTTTTGTTCGGTTGGATATAAGAGAAGAGAAGAGAATAAACTTAAAATTTACTCTATTTGTCAAGAGAGAATGAAAAAAAAAAGTTTTAATTGTTTTTATCATTATATTCAATAATATTTATAATATTATAATTTATAGAAGATAGTAATATAATTTAAAACTTGTGTAATTTTGGATAGTTTTTAATTTAAAACTTATATAATAATTCACTTATCTTCCCTCCTTTCTTCTACCCATTTTTGAACGGATAAAAATTTATAAAGGAGGAAGGATGGATCATTCTTCCCATTTTCCTTTCTTTCCTTGTATCATTCTTGCCGAACAATTCCTTGTATCATTCTTACCGAACAAAGGAAATTTATTCCTTCTTCCTATTTTCTCTCTACACCTCTTCCTTCTTTCTTACCGAACAGAGCATAAAGCAAATTTCAGACTATCACTAATGCACTATGTCACTAATGCAATGGATGTGTTTCAACTCTCCTTCAATGAAAATGTATATAAGTAATTTTTGCTTTTTTAACTAAATATTGTGACATACTTAATGTGTCACAACTCACAAACTATACAAGTATAAAAAAGTTAGTTCATTAGACTGATATATCTCATCGCAAGCAATGTCTTAAAAAAGGATTAATTTATGCATACTTTTAAATTTAGATAGAATAACTTTACTGTTACACTAAACTCACTATAAAATTATATAATTATATAGAAAAATAAAAAATTATACAAGTACATAGAAAAATAAAATGATTGGATGGATTTTTTTTTCATTCAATTTGTATAAATACTTATTCTGACAGTTTAAATTTTTTTATTTATTTATTATAAACTGAATTAAACCAAAACAATGATGCAAAGAGATATGCTTTAATCGTTAGGAGGTAGTGCGATAAAAATTTTCTCCAGTTAAATAATGGTTTGTTTCAATGTGCCTTATAAAAAAAGGTTGTGAAGTTGTCACGTTTTTGGAAGGCAATGGAATCATTGTTCCAGAAGAGGAGATATTAAATTGGGAGAACTGAAGAAGGCTATTAAATTGGGAGGTAACTCCGTTTGTTTGGATATAAAATATTTTTTAAAAAATATTTTTATTTTTATTTTTATTTTTTTAGTGTTTGGTTGTCGTATAATATTTACGAAAAAAATAAATTAAAATTTAACAAAAATAATTTATCTATTAATTTTCGATAAGTTATTTTACATGTATCGCCTGATGGGCTTGACCTCAAAAAATAAGAAATAAAATATTTTATCTAAAAAAATAAAAATATTTTTTAAAAAAAATATTTTAGGTTGAAACAAAGTGAGCTACAGTGTGATATATACTGATGGAATAGAAATAATAGAGTTAAAAGAGCATCTAATTCTTCACTTCACTTATACAATTTAACCATTGGTTCGCCCAATCCTTATTATATACGTAAGTACTGTGTTAATAATGTGACCATCCAAGTTCTGACATTGCTATTTCAGTGCATTTGCTGAGACTAGATGAAAACTTTTAGTCATTTATCAAAACAATTTGAAGACACTTCAACAAATTAGGCAGGGAAAGAAGTTTCATTTATTATAAGGGACATGGGTATAATTTTGAAAACTATAGGGGTGGTCCGCGTGTATATATTTATTTATAAAGGGTTAAATATATAAAAAAAATCCCTAAACTATTGGCATATTGGTAACTAACCCCTGAACTATAAAAATTACAACTAAACCACATAACTACTCAATTTTGCTAAAGGACCGGAATGCCCTTATTCACATAAAAGGACAAAAATACCCTTACTTGTTACCGTTATAACCCAACAGTCATATTTTAGCCTATAAATGGGTTATAAATGGGACATCCAACACACCCTTCATTGCGTTCTCAAAATCATTAGTTGCCCTAGATTGACTGAACCTCTGTTCCCAAAATCAATCACAGCTTCATCCTTGTGGCCTTTGTCTTCGGAAAGATCGACTAAGTTCGTGGTTAGGGTTTGTATTCATCTCTTTATTTCTCTCAATATCTTTGTTTGTCGTGGCAGTGTTGGTGCTCAAGACTGTAACCATGTTGTTGTTTGTGTAGCGCTATGAATGTTCAGTATATATGTGTGTGTGTATATATATATATATATGTATTGAGGTACGAATTTTATGTTTATGTGATATTATTTGCAGAGAATGAGCTATGTATGATCCACCCATACTGCCATCCGAAGGGGTCCTGGGTGTAACTTAACGATTTCTTGCTCATTGTTGATTTGGATACGAAGTCTGAAGTGGTATTCCATCAGAGGTCTCTTCGCCGGCAAATTCGTCGGGATCTGTAAACAGAAAGAATGTGCGATCAGGTGGTAATAATTGAATAGCAAGATTGGTGGCGGTTGTGGTGGTTTCCTGGTGGAATTGATGGAGAAGTTTCTGTAACTACTCATCATCACTGCTCTCTCACCTTAACATTAAGTTTCTCTCTCTATCTTTATAATTTTGCTTCTGGGTTGTCTTCTATGGTAAAAACGGAAGCAAAATTGGAGTGTTCAAACAACAAGTAACTCTGTGTTTGCCTGAATTGAGAAAACTGGTCGACATTTACTAATGTTCGGTCGACAGAATTGAGAAAACCGGTCGACATCTACTAAATTTACGTCGACCGAATTGATTGAACCGTTCCTTCTCATTTAAGTTTTCTATTTTTTCTTCATCTGTTCTCTATTTCTCTCTCTCTCTCTATGGCGACTTAGGGCTTCTCTCCTTCCATTCGCTCTCAATTCAATTCAGGTAAGTGTGTATGCGAACCACCATTTTAAAAGTTCAATTTCTATTCTATTATGCATTATCCACTGTTGGACTCAACTTTAAACCATCTTATTATTACTCCTCCATTCTCGCACCACTCCAAGTAAATTATTTCTAATCCTCTGTCTCATTATTCAATTCGTGTCATGTTACTCTGTGTATTGAATTTTCTCTGTACATCGCCATTGTCTATGAAACCCCTCTGCAAAATTTTTGATAATCATCTTGTTGGTTTTCATTTTTACTCTATATTCGCATTTCATCTTAGGGCTTGACGAATTGAAGGTATAAGTGGATCATTCATCCAACATAATTCTCAAATTAAACCTTCTCTTGCACGGACAAACTCTCTCTGCCGAATCCCTAAATCCTCAACTTTCCAAATCTTAGCCGAAACCCTCGTCTACAAAATCATTCATCATTCTCATGGCTACTAGAAGATATCCAACCCATAAGAGACAAAGCGGATCTCACGATGATGAAGCAGGTGCTTCAAACCCTCAACCCAAGGCTTCAAACCCACCCCCTCTCATTCCCCCTAACGCTCCTAGAAATCTAAGGGTTTTCCAATCTCCTGGATACAAGGAGTTATATAAAACAAAGTTCTTGCACAAGAAAGTTGCCCCAAGGCTTCAAACCCACCCCCTCTCATTCCCCCTAACGCTCCTAGAAATCTAAGGGTTTTCCAATCTCCTGGATACAAGGAGTTATATCAAACAAAGTTCTTGCACAAGAAAGTTGCCTATGGGAAGGCTCTGACTAGTGCAGACTGTGCTATCAACAATCTAAACACCTATGATCTCTTCAATGCTTTAGGCTTAGGTGATTTTGTCTCAATGGTCCCTTCTATCCAAAATTAGTCCGCCTCTTCTATACTCATCTTAAGAAAATAGATGGCATAAATTCCCTTCATTCTTATGTAATGGGAGTTGAAATTCCCCTCCGACAGAGTGATTTAAGAACTATGTTAGCTCTTCCTGAGGGTGACTTCAAGTACTATGAATCTCACCCATGGTACGAAGGAGAGAACTTTGATCCTCTTACAGCTATACGAGATATTAGCCATGATAAAACCACCACTGAAGTTGACAACATCCAGTCCAGCCAACTTTCTATTAAAGCTCAGATGATTTATTAGGTAATCATCCATTCCATTATTCCAAAATCTAGCGGCCATTCAGATGTTTCCTATATAGAAGCATTTCTAACCCGGTGTGTGTTCAAAGGATGGAAATTTGACGTGGCTCACTTGATTTTCCACTACATGTTGGATTGTGTGAAAAGGAAGAAAACTCCTCTTTTCTACGCTTTGCCTCTCGCTAAAATATTCAGGGCCAAAGGAGTTATGATTGTCGGATAGTTTTAGATGAAGTTGTTACCAGTACATCACTTTGACAAGACAACCCTTCTTTGCATGAGGTTAGCTAAAGACAATAATGGTAATTGGTATGATCCCAAGCTTGTAAGCCATCATGTTGAAGGCGAATCCGAAGAGGAAGAAACAGAAAGCAGTGATGATAATACTGAGATACGTTATAACCCTTCGATTGACCCATCCTTTCGTGAGCTTCTCATGGAAAATTTGGCAATCTCTCGCCAAACACAAGAGGATGTGATGTTGCTTAGGGATGAAGTTAAAACTATCAAGGATGCTCTCCAGGATTTACGTATGAATCCAGCTCCTCCCTAATTTACACAACAGGATGTGTCACTCCCTTCTTTTTGGTGTGACAAAGGGGAGAATATAATATGCTTTAATATGGTTTCTTCTGTTTTTGAAGTTTTTGAACTTAGATAACTTTTTGAAGTTTCTGAACTTAGTTAACTTCTGTTTTGCTTTTTTTTTTAAAAAAAACTCAGTTATTGTTTTTGGTGTTATGCTTTCGTGTGATTAATTTTATTTTGGAAGCATAAAGACAGGGGGAGATACCATCATCTCTAGATAAAAATCTACATCATGAATTCTTGCTAAAATGTATTTGTTATTCCCTTTGTCACATCAAAAAGAAGGGAGTGACACATCTTGTTGTGTAAATTAGGGAGGAACTGGATTCATATGTAAATCCTTGATAGCATCCTTGATACTTCTAACTTCATCCCTAAGCAACATCACATCCTCTTGTGTTTGGCGAGAGATTGCCAAATTTTCCATGAGAAGCTCACGAAAGGATGGGTCAATCGAAAGGTCATAACATATCTCAGTATTATCATCACTGCTTTCTGTTTCTTCTTTTTCAGATTCGCCTTTAACATGATGGCCTACAAGCTTGGGATCATACCAATTACCATCATTGTCTTTAGCTAACCTCATGCGGAGAAGGGCTGTCTTGTCAAAGCGATGTGCTGGTAACAACTTCATTTTTACCCGACAATCATAACTCCTTTGGCCCTGAATATTTTTAGTGAGAGACATAGCGTAGAAAATAGGAGTTTTCTTCCTTTTCACACAATCCATCATGTGGTGGACAATCAAATGAGCCACGTCAAATTTCCATCCTTTGAGCATACACCAGTTTAAAAATGCTTCCATATAGGAAACATCTGAATGGCCGCCAGATTTTGGAATAATGGAATGGATGATTACCTGATAAATCATCCGAGCTTCAATAGAAAATTGGCTGGACCTCCTAGATGTTGTCAACTTCAGTGGTGGTTTTATCATGGCTAATATCTCGTATAACTGTAAAAGGATCAAAGTTCAGCCAATTTTCGTATGGGTGAGATTCATAGTACTTAAAATCACTCTGTCGGAGGGGAATTTCAACTCCTATTACATAAGAATGAAGGGAATTTATGCCATCTATTTTCTTAAGATGAGTAATTTTGGATAGAAGGGAATTTCCATCGAGACAAAACCTAAGCCTAAAATATTGAAGAGATCATAGGTGTTGAGATTGTTGATAGCACAGTCTGCACTAGTCAGAGCCTTCCCATAAACAACTTTCTTCACAGTTTGCACTAGTCAGAGCCTTCCCATAGGCAACTTTCTTGTGCAAGAACTTTGTTTCATATAACTCCTTATATTCAGGAGATTGGAAAACCTTTAGATTTCTAGGAGCTTCAGGGGGAGGGTCCAGCCTTGGGTTGAGGGTTTGAAGCACCTGCTTCATCATCATGAGATCCCCTTTGTCTCTTACGGATCCCCTTTAACGTCTTGAGTTTACACAAAAGCAAAGTATATACATTACCATTTCTAGGGGCATAAAATATTTGAGTTCCATCTTTTTCAACAATGCATTTATCCATTTTGAATATTACGTCAAATCCCTTGTAGAAATACCTATGGTACAAATCCCAATTACCTTGCCTTTGGAGTTGTCTCCAAATGTGACACTTCCATGTATTAAGGAAGATAATCTTGAGCAATCACCCGTCATATGCCTTGAGCATCCACTGTCTAAAAACCATTTATCCTTGAGAGAGGAAGATGCCTTCATACAATCCTGCAGGAAAATTTGGAGTAATCCTCATTTGGTACCCAGTTAGGTCCGCCTTTGCTTTCAACAAAATCATATAAGGGTTTCCTTTTACTTAGTGAGCATGCATCTTTCTTAAAAATTCTTGTTTAAGAAGGACACATCTTTGACTTCCTATTATGAGTTTCAGATTTTGTAACCCTTGAGTAAACCTTGCTAGACATCAATTTAATCTCAGGGACAACAAGATTACTAGATGTGGATTCTTTTAGTAACATGTAATCTTTTTCTTTTTGAAGAGTGCGGTTTTCTTTTCAAGAATAAAATTTTTTCTTCTAAGGGAGGCACATTTTTTAACCATTTTATCAAGTTCATTATGCAGTTCTTTAAATACATATCAAGTAACTTATTATAGGCATCAGCTAGCTCATCATAAGACATTCCTAAATTAGATGATGAATCACAGTTAGAATTTACCTCATCTTCATTTGCCATGAGACAAAAGGTTAGCTGTTTCCTCATCACTTCCAGAACCATTTGAATCATCATCTTCCTAAGTGGCCTGCCCTTTTCTTTTTCCTTTCTTCTTTGTAGCGTAGGCAATCAGCTTTGAAATGCCCTGGTTTCCCACAGTGAAAACATTTGCTAATACTTGACTTTGTTTATGATTGTTCTCATGGTTTTGAGGTTTTTTTGTCTATATAATATATTGCGAAGTTTTGTTTTTTTGGGTTAGATTGCTGATTTTAATGGTTTCAAGCGTTTAAGAATTTATCTGTGAATTGCAGTGATTTTAGGTTTTATTGCATCTAATATAGTTTCGGATTTAAGAAAGTGGAAATATCAGTTAAGCCTATAAGTTTGTATTAGGCTCTGATGAGCAGGGTTTTCTTAATGTTAAATAATGGTCGAATTGAATAGGTTTGAATGATTTGTTGCTGCACTTGTCTAATCAATCAAACTGGATTTGAAATGGAAACTCCTCTTAAAAAAATTAACCTATAAAAATGTTGTGATGATCTGAAGGATTTCTCAAAACATGGGAGAGAAATCTGATCCTGTTATAACGAAGTGCAACGGTGATGAAAACTGGACTAAGGTCTCATTTAAGCCCGACTTGGCAAAGTTCCATATACAAACTTGAACATGATATTCTTGCCATGATGAGAAAGAGGTTGATCGACTTAGCAGGATGTTTAGGAAAGACTGTGATGTCCAAGAATAAACCCAATTACCTCCCAAGGTTCTCTCCATGATTTTGTTATTTATCATTCTTATTCCTCTTATATTTAATTGGGATTGCTAATCTAATTTAGTAATTTCACTAGGATTGCAGAAAAGGTCGAAAGGTGGGAGGTTTGCGTAAGTTTAGGTGACCGGAAGTTTCAGCAGTACTGAGAAGATTATCCTCTTTATTAGCCTTCTCAACTACCATTTAGTTTTGGAGCTTGAATTTTGTATGTGGATGTATTAGTTTTGACAGGCTAGCTTTGTAAATGGGGTTGCCACGATCAGGGGTAGGGCTCGCGTGGACTACATCACCCAACAAATTGCATCTTACATTATGGATAGAATAAACTTTCCTCTTATAACTATATCTCCTTTGAACCCTTTATA